AGCCACCTCTGTCCTCCAAAGTTCTCCAAGATCCTCATTTTGATTTCTTCATGTTTCTTCTTATGTTTCTTTTTATCTTTCCTCATGTCTACTTCCCTCAGGCCTGGGGGTCCATCTCTTCTGTCTCCTCCTCTTCTGGGGTCCCTCTGGTCTCCTTCCCTTTCTTCCCTTACCACTCTGCTTTTTCTAGCTGTTCTCCACTGATAGTTTTTGCCTCTCATTGTGTAATCCAAGGCCACTTGTAGAAGGGAGGCACTGTGCCACTTCCTATTTGAAGCAAGAGCTTTTTGCCTTTCTCCTGGGTAGCAGGTGATCTGTTCTCAGTTAACACTTTTCACTGGAGTTGGCCATTCTGTCCTAGACAGTGCTTCCCACAGCTACTGAAGACCTAGGAGTTATTCCATTAGGTCACCTTAGTTAGGATTTGTACAAGTTTGACCTGTTCATATTCCTTGATACAGATTACCCTTTCATGAGTCCAGGTCCATGGATATTCTTGGTTAACATGAATTATCTCTCTCTCATCAAAATGGTGGCTTAGGAACAAACACTCTTCCCTGCATTCACTGTGGCCGAGGTTCCCTGAGCATAATATATTAGAAGGGCCATTATGGGAGAAGAGTGGGTTCTGTTTGACAGAGGACTGAGTCCTAATCCAGTGCTGTTGAATACTCCAGGACATTAGCTTAACTTGTGATTGGCCTCATTTGTTGAGTGGGTCAAGGGTGACCACCAGAGTGAAAACCCCTTGAAAATTTGGCACATGACATCAACATCCTCAGCATCGTATCCACTCATTGAAGATAGCCTCAGGGGAACCCGAGCCATCTGATTCACAAAAGCATTATTCTTTGTCCTCACCAGGCAAAATGACCTATGATATTAAAAAAAAGTCAGGGGTTGGAGAGATGGCTCAGAGGATAAGAGTACTGGCTGCTCTTACAGAGGACCCAGGTTCAGTTCCCAGCACCCTCATGGCAGCTAACAACCATCGGTAATTCTGGTTCCAGGGACTCCTACACCCTGGAACGCTAACTTGACTTGATAGGCCTTAACATAAATGACAGAATGCATGAAATCTAGGTTGGGGGGGCTATGGGAGGTGCCATGGGAAAGGGTATAAAGATGATCAACATGTTGTAAATGAAATATACAAAAATTCAAAGCTAACCATCTATAAATCCAGGGAATCTAATGCCCTCCTCTGGTCTCCATGAGCATTGCATGGACATGATGAACATAAATGCAGACAAACCATTCATACACATAAGATAAAGTTAAAATTTTAAAAAAAAATCACTGAAATTGTTAAGGAATTAAAATTTTACCAAATAGTTGAGAAATAATTATTGAATATCATTCATAGTTGTAAGTATATTGTCTGTATTAGTCCATAGATAAGAAGCACATATATTTGAGTAAGAAAAACTAATATAAAGTATTATGATAGTAAATTGGTGAAACATTAGCCTAATTGAAGGGTAAAGGTTACTCTAAAGCTTAGGTCAGTAAAGGATATGCCACTGGGTCAAATCTAGCTATCCCGCACTTCTTTTTTTTTTTTTTCAAGCTATTTATTTTTATGTGTATGAGTGTATTGCTTGCATGTATGTAAGTGCATCCATGTCATGCAATGCCCACATTGGCCAGAAGAGGGAATCAGATCCCCTAGTATTGGAGTTACCGACAGTTGTTAGCCACCATGTGGGTGCTGGGATTCAAACTCGGGTCTTTTGCAAGAACAGCCAGTGTGCTTAAATGCTGAGCCAACTCTCCAGCCCCAGTCCCCTGTTTCTTATCAATAAGGTTTTGTGTCAGTTCCATGGCCATTTGTCCCTAGCTGCTTTTGAATTTCAACAGTAGAGCTTTTGAGTTGTGACAGAACCCAAAGGACTGACAAAACCTAGAATATTTATTTTCTGGTTCTTGACAAAAATAACTTGCTGATTCTGAGTTGTTAAATACAAGAGTTGTAGATACTAGGAGTAGCATACCTAGGGAATAGGGCAGTCCTGCAAGACCTTCCTCCTTACCCTGGGCTAAGTAAGATTTGGGCCTACTTGGAGAGAGTATGGTTGTGTTGAGATAACAAACTGGGTCGCCTGGCCAGGGACCATCGAAGTAACACTCCAGGGGAGGTTTCTGCTGGAGCAGGATTTCTTTGTTTGGCAGCTGTGTTGGGGTGCCATTGCAGCTTCCTGTAAGCATGCATCCCCTAAATCTTTAACAGAAAGCCCCTTGACTGGTATATTATAAGAGCAAGGTAAAACAAAATGCCTAAACCAAACCCTCCCCCCCAAAAAAAAACCCACAAAGCAAACATTAGAACTTAGGGAAACCCTTTCTCAGCCCCGTCCTTCCAGCACCCTCTACTAGGGCCCCACTGTGTCACTGTCTTCTGACAGAGTCTGAAGGAACCTCATCCTTCCCAGAGCCTGGTAGAGCTGCTGGCCCTCTTGTGAAGGGACAGGAGGCAGATATTCCCATCAACTCTGAGCCCAGGCAGGTAGTCCAGGGCTCAAGAAGAAATAACTTGGTATTTCTGACCCATGGCTATGTGGTAGACACTTGTAAGCAAGAAAATGGGGTTGATGGCATTCTGGGATAATTGTCCATCTGACCTCTTAGTAATGGAATTTCAGAAAGCTATGTTCCTGTTTGGGTTTTGTTAGGCTTGTAGAAATGGTTTCTAAGGCAAATGTTAATAATTGTGACATCCATTCACTTGGCCAGCTAGCATTTATTGGCTGCATACTATGCAGTTCAACAAACAGAAATAGAAGAATGACTTATTTTTCAAGTTGAATTCAAATCTTTTGGAGAATATTTTTTTCTTGTGGCAGTTCTCATTTAAAAAATACTTACTTTGTGTAAATTCTTTTGACTTTTTAGAGTTTGTAGGCATTCCCTACACTTTCACCATTGCAAACTAAAAGCTACCTAGACTTCTACTATATATAGTTTCAATTTTTTGATTTTGCATATTTTTAGCCTCTGTCCCTAAAACATAGTTTGTATAATTACAGTAATTGTGCCCTTATTTGTGTATTGTTTTTTTTTTTTTTCTTGGAATGTCAAAGCATCTTTGTAAAGTCTGCTCAGGTCAAGTAATTGAGGTTAAGTATGAGTTTTCATCCACATCTTAGGCAGAGCAACTGACTACTACCTCAGACCGCACCAGAATCTCAGGGGCTAAACACAGTACACGGCTCAGTTTTCACTCAAGGGGTATTTCAGTGCCTGTTTTAAGTAGGTGGCCTTCTGCAGGATGGCTCAGGATCCAGATGCCCTCTGTCTTAGGCTTCTACCCTCTCTGTAGGCCACTGCTGGATCTTTTGCAAGTGGCCCTCAGAAGGAAGAGGGGCACAGAGACTTCACTTGAGAAACCTTTCAGGGCCCAGGGAGGTAGCAACCACATCACTTCTACTTGTAGACTATTGGCTAGAAGATAGTCATGTAGCCACCCCTAACCCAAGGGAGGCTGGGAGATGTAGTCTAACTGTATTGAGAAGGAAAGGACACTGATTTGGGGAACTCGGAGTAGTCTCATTCACAATTTCCATTTAAATGTGATGTGTCAGATGTCTTTAATATATTTCCTGGCTATAAATAGTCACATTAGTATATGTAGCATTTATTGAGATTGTGTATATTAGATATTTTATTAATATTAATAGTTTAAAAATAGTCTTGCAGTAACTATTGATAATGATGGATTTAATTTTCATTGTTATTTATTTATTATGGGGGGGGCTCACTTGTGCTCCAGCACATGTATAGAGGTTAGAGAACAACTGGCAGGAGTTGGTTTGCTCCACCATGTGGGTTCTGGGGATCAAATTCAGGTCGGTAGGCTTGGAGGCAAATGCCTTTACCTGCTGAGCCATCTTGCTGGCTCTGAATTTAGTTGCCTCTTATCACATTTGACCTATTTTGGCATTGGCCCTACTGAATATGTATTGCTATCTACAGTCTAGCATAGTCTCTTGCACATAGAAAGTGATCCATTAATGCCCTGTGAGTGTTAGATAAGAGAATCACTGAAAAGACCAACTTTGGAAATAGCTGGAAAAGGCTTGTTATCTTTGCTCTCAGGCTTTTTACTTTTTTCTTTTGCTTAGTATGTGCTAGGGATTGACATCTCTTTCCTGGAGTTTACCCCAGTAGTTTTTCTTGACTGTCTGGTTTTGGTCTATCTCAACTTTTTGTAGGTTCAGGTAATACATATGTGTGTACCTGGTATTTCATAGGGGTATGTGAGGACCCAGAAGGCTTCCAAGGAAAATGATATGAAATAGTCCTATAGGTTCATTTAGGTCCTGGGTCAAGAGAGACGAGCCTCCAGTGACAGGCCATGGCTAGTTCCCTTAGCAGGGCAGCTCTAATAGTCCTAACATTTGGAAGGGGTCTGGTCTATCCAGGAGAGGCCTTAGAAAAGCTAGAAAGCCCAGCATGGTGGTGCATGCTTTTAATCCCAGCAAAGGCAGGTGGATCTCTGCGAGATTGGGGCCAGAATGTTCTACATAGCAAGTTGCAGGCCTGTCAGTGCTACATAGTGAGACCCTGTCAAACAAATAACTAGAAATGGCTAGAAACTCTACCAAAATGCAGACCTCTATTGCACTTAAATTATCTCATAAAGCATCACTCTTGGTAGATAAGATTCCTTGGTAAGGGCCTCTTTTCTCTTTGAAGACATTTTTTTCCCCTCTCATTTCTGTTTCTTTTCCATAGTGAAGCCAACATGTCATTGTAGAAAAGTTGGAAAATATAAAAAATTTATGACCTAGATTTATAAAGTTCTTTAATCTTAGGAAGGTACATTTCTCAAGTAGGGCATGATGGTGAATGAGAGGCCATCCAGGGCCCAGGGCTACATAGTGAGTTCAGGCCAGCCTGGGGTTATAGCGTGGGGATTCTGTCACCAAAGGGGGTGGTGATAAAGTACATCTATCTATAAGACTCTTGCAGTGACCATCATTTTTCTTTGGGTCTTACAGGCAAAGCCAAAGCTGATTGAGCCACTCGACTATGAAAATGTCATTGTTCAGAAGAAGACACAGATCCTGAATGACTGTCTGCGGGAGATGCTCCTCTTCCCCTATGATGACTTCCAGGTCAGTGACCTTCAGTGGAACCATCCACTTGATATTTACAAACTTTTTGTCTATTGATTTATTGTTTGTTTAGTGAATTCATGCTTTTTAAAAGATGAATTGAGCAAGACCCAGTAGCATATGCCTCTGTAACCCTAGCTAGTTGTTAACAGTAGGAGGATCATAAATTTAAGGATTGCCTAGGCTAGAGTGAGTTCAAGGCCAGGTGGGGGAATTTAGTCAGGCTAGGTTTCTAAACAAAAAGCAGAAAGGGGGAGTACAGCTCAGTGATACTCAGTGTACTTACCTAGCATACATGAAGTTCTACTGTCAATCTTCAGCACTGTGGGGGGGATGTTATTTAAGAGAGAAAGGTTATATAATTAGGTACCTCCTTTAAAAATTCATATTTTCAGTGGGATTAATTTTGCATGTTAGAAATATAAACACATATATGTTTATATATGTATATATATGTACATATGTGCTATATCTTAGTTTGATTTAGAGGGCACAAATGCCTCTTTTCTCTTAGAAGACTGTTTTGAATTTAGACTTAGATTTTTTTTTTTCTTGTGTCATGTTGGGGATCAAACCCAGGACCTTTATGCATGCTAGACCAGTGATCTACCAGTGAGGTGCACCCCAGCCTACTTTGATATGTTTTGGCCAGGCACTCTAGAATCTGAAGATTTGCTTTGGAATTTTGAGAGGAAGCAGCAGAGTTTTGTTATACATTCTACAGGGTGGCACTTTTGGACTCTGCCCTGAAAAGCTCTGAACCTTGGACTCCCAGGGGGAGGGGCTCAGAGGTCAGTAGGAACATAGTGAAATCTAATGTAGGTGCAGTTCTCTGGGAGAAATGTAGAAGAAATGTGAAAGCCCAGAGGCAGCTGCTGCCGTCCACTGCTCTCTGGGTTAATACTTGGAAGTCTTTCAGCTTATAACTAGGTGAATGACCAGGAAGCATTGATATTATTGAGGAGCAAGGGTTAAGAGTCCTTCTCCAGGAACCCAGAGTCACTCCAGTCTGCTCAGAGGTTCTGGTACTGTTCTTGCTGTTCTGGAACCTTCTGGATGTTTTCCTGTTCTCTATCTCTATTCTGTTAACCTCGACACTTCTACCTGATGTTGTTACTATCAAAGCCTTGTCCTCTATGAACTGAAATACATAGTCATTGATTGTTCACTACTTAAAAAGCCTTACATACTTATAAACAATAGAATAGGCAGCTGTAGAAATAGTTGATATTCAAAGCTTCCTTCTGTGTCTAGAAAGATGGTTCAGTGGTAAGAGCACTGGCTGCTGCTCTTGAAAAGGACTGGTTTGGCTACCAGCACTTACATGGTGGTACAGACATACACATGTACACATAAAAAAAAATCTTTCAAAAACTTCCCTTACTTCTTTTGAATCCTGCTTTCTAGAACATAACCTATTCTGTATAGTTTTATACACACTGAATTTTTTTTAAAATAAACTCTCATGTCAGCTGGGTGTGGTGGTACACGCCTTTAGTCCCAGTACTGAGGAGGCAGAGGCAGGCAGATCTCTGTGAGTTCAAGGCCAGCCTGGTCTACATAGTGAGTTCCAGGCCAGCTGGGGCTACAGGGAGACCCTGTCTCAAAAAGACAAAAAGATAAAACAAACAAACAAAAAAGCCAACTCGTGTCAATAGCAGTTGTTAAATTATAATCCTTGAAGGTATTTTTCCCCACTAAATTTAAAAAACTTCAGTTTATAACAGCTAACAGCAGTGAGAATTTTCACAAATGTTTTCTCTTTCCAACTTGCTAGAGATTCATAGACTGAAAATGATTATTGCTTAGTTCTTTCCTGAAAAAAAATGTGAAAGAATGGGACAGAGATGAAGTTCTGCATTTGTACAGTGTTGTAGTCCAAGCTCCACTAGTAAATGAATTCATATCTTGCCCACAACACCCTGCTTTGAAAACTTTATTTCATGAATAGACTGTGCAGCTAAAGGGCAAATAGGAGGACACTCCAGAATTCTCTTTTGCCTGTGATTTGTCATCCAATGAAAAGCAAAGTCAGATGATTACAAATTAGACTTCTTGTTGACAGATTTTTTCCTGTAGTGTTCTCAGAGGAAGCCAAAGGTTATCTCAAGCTTCTTGGAGCATATATGTGTTTTTCTTGATTAATGAGCATTTTTTAAAATTTTATCACCAAGAATGCAAAATTGTATTTTCAGGCATAAAGCAAAGTTGCTTAGGAAATAAACAAAAAACCGAACATATAATTAATTTAATATCTTGGTATCGTCTTTTCTCTTGGGACAAAGAGCCTAGATATTTAAGCAGTTATAGAATCAGATGCTTAGAACTCAGAGAAAACCCTTTTGTCTCTCTCACTTGAAACTATTTCTATGATATTCTGAGACAAAGAGACAACAAACTTACTGACTTTGTACTGGCCTAGGGTGAATGAACAAATGTTACTTTCTGGTTTAAGGAGGTTTTCTCAAAGATTAAGGATCTTGAATATTAGCTTTCTTTCCCCTCTTAGTAGTAATGATGGGCACCAGCTCACTTTGGGCACTAGTATTTGTTTTCTTATGGACTACTGTCCTGTCCTCAGGAGATGCTAGTCACACCATGTCTCCTTGCCTTGGTGATGATATTAACTGTCTAATTAGTTGTATGGCTTAATGTCTTAGTAATGCCAAGGATTTCTTCTGTCTCTGTTTTCTTAAGGAGAGTAGGAGCAGCAGCATCAGTGTATAACTACAGGCAGAGTGAACGTACTAGATCTTATTACATAGAGAAAAGAGATGACAAGTAGGTTAGGAAATGGATCAGATCATGAACAAAATGCAATAGTATCTTTAAATGAGCAATAGTGATTAACTGTTGAAATAACAGGACCTGGTTTACATTTCAAATGATAATTTCATGAAATATAAATATAGTTAGTAATGATGCTTTTGTGTAGGCATGCTGACAGCGAACCCTCTTTGTCAGATCTGAGGCTATCCAAGTGGCCTCTGAAAAATGAACTGTATGGAAAAAGGTTTGTCAATCAGATATACTTGCTTGAAGATGAAGATATTTTTATTTATTTATTTTTTTTAATTTTTAAAAATTATTTATTTATATAAATATAGTTAGTAATGATGCTTTTGTGTAGGCATGCTGACAGCGAACCCTCTTTGTCAGATCTGAGGCTATCCAAGTGGCCTCTGAAAAATGAACTGTATGGAAAAAGGTTTGTCAATCAGATATACTTGCTTGAAGATGAAGATATTTTTATTTATTTATT